ATTCTGTAGACTCGTGTTTCACCGGGTCCTCGTACTCCTCCTCATCACATTTCCATCCTTCATCGTCTTCTTCTTCCACCCGGCGCTTTCGTTTCCAGTCCAAGTCTTCTGGTGTCAGCTCGGGTCCATCACAGGCCCGGAGTCTGTCTCCACCCATAGCCTCCCCATCCTACAGCTTAGACAACAGCTCTACCGGAGATCAGGAAGTGATTTATGATGAAAGGCCCCAGTTTACCAGCCGAGGCACCTATAATCCAGATAAGGGTAAGCAGAAACTTAAGGGAGCCAGACATACTGCCCCAAGGCCCTCCAGAGAAGGCGGTGGTCATGGCAGGGACCCTTCAGACATGCCACAGCCTGTGGTAGTATATGGAAGTAATGAATTCATGGTATGAAGGACAATGAGACACCAAAGCAATCCCTATCCAACTTCCTGCCAGGCATACATGTTCTCAATGGGAGGTGACAAACTGGCAACTGATCTCCACTCCTCAAACCACTCTTGCTTAGCCTTTTATTCTTAAAATCTGCAAAGAAATTTCCCTTAAGTGCTGTGTACAGTGTTTCCCCCTCCTGAGGCGGGGAGGAGAATTGTTTGGAAGAGAAACAAGAATCAGTAGATGGGCTCTTCTGTGGATGAAACTGCCAATCGTGCTCTCACAGTGTCTTGGCAACTCTTTACTCGGCGCCAAGAGGAGATAAACTGAGCAGGAGGACAGAGAAAAGGGAATGTTGGAATATGCAGAAGAAAACACGGCATCAGGGAATATTACAGAGCTGGAAAGCTGAAGCAGTATACTACAGAAATTGAGAAGAAAAACAAATCGGGCACCATCAGGCGTCGCAGATGTTACAGTGAACTTAAAGCTCACGACTATAGGCTGCTTTATGAGTTTACAATAAATGTAAGCAGTGGATGCTTTGTTATTACAAAATAATTTTTCCCTTATTTAAAAATTTTAATGTTACAGAAATTCTTTATAGCATATAATATACAGGTATAAATACTGTACAAAGCCGGAACACCAGCCTCTGCTGGGTAGTTGAAGTCAAATATTTATCTTGTTTCTTTTTTGTTTTTTTTAAAATTGAGATTCTTGAACAGAGATGTTTGGGTTTGGGCAGTGGATCCCACACTTCTGTTGTGTACATGTGCCGAGAGCTCATGCGTGACTGTATGTTTGTGTGAGACAGAAAAGAAAAAAACCCACTTAATGTGTTTTAAGTTTGTGCTGCTTTTTTTTTTTTTTTCTTTTCCCCTTACAAGGGAAATACAGCCATCAAAGGGACCAAGTCAGCTGGTGTGTATTCCAGCCAAGGGGATCCCAGCTCTTTAGGAATGTTGGAATCTGTGATAAAATTCCTGCATTCACTGCTTAACAGCCATACAACTGTTGTGTACAGTACAGGTCATATGTACAGTATAGAGAACAAATGCCATTCTATTCTTGAAATCCATTATTACCCACTCCTCCCACTCCCAAAGCCATTCTCTCCTGTCTCTTAAGCATTTGCTCAATAGCAACCATGCAAGAACATAAAATCATTGTGTCTTGTCATTATTGATGTGTGTATGTTTTAGTTGAAAATGTCCAACTGCATAAGTGCAATTCTTTTCTTTAGGCCTGTGTTTAAAATAGGGAATTACTCATCTTAATAACAATAATGCTAACAGGGGCACCTTTAGAGTCCCACTGCTAATTAGTCATGATAGTGAGTCAGCCATGCGCTATATAATGACCCTGAAACTGAAGGAGCTAATGCTATCCAGTCATCTATAATTTTATTCTGCTTTTCCCCCCAGTGTGGCATGTCAAAGTGTGTTCTATGAAAAACACAAAGAAATTCCAAGTTGTGCATGAGCCAGTAATGGAATTTGACATTGGGAGTAGTTAGATTGGATTAATTGTGCAAAAACAATGTGATCCAAACCAGAACAATTAGCAGGTTTAGACACAAACAATATAAAACCCTTGAATGCACACAGTATTTGGCTGTTGTAATCCATAATGTCTGCAATATTACTATTGTTACAAAATGCTAATTGGGCTGGTTCTTATATAGCACTTTTTTACTTAAGCACACAAAAGGCTTAATACAGGTCTTATTCACTCAAACACTAATATAAGCACTAGCACTATCTACCGTAACATTCACTGTCTGGTGACTAGATTAGAAGCAACTTGGAGATTCAACGTCTGGCCCGAGGACACTTTGGCATATAGACTGGAGCAGCCAGGGATCGAAGCACCAACCTTCTAATTATTAGTTGACCTTCTCCACCACTAATAATACTAATTTATTATCATATTTCTGATTCTCTTCTGCTTGTATTGTTGCACAGCATTTTACCATTTCTTGATGCACTTGCACAAAAGTGAGCCACTCATATATTACTCCCGCTCGGCCATGGAAACCCATGCCACGAAGCTACCAGCCCAAAGTTTTGTGTGCTGATGTTAATGCCAGAAGGTCTGGAGCTCCTGAGTCAGCAAAGCGTTGGCGGATTTACACACCATGCACCTCAGCATTCAGTGATCAAGCTGTGATTTTTACCTGGTCTGCACTTCATTAATGAGTTGGTGTGACTCCTAAACACTTCCACTTTGCAAAGACACCACTTACAGAAGATCATGGGATAGTCAATTCAGTTGTATTTATAAAGCACCAAATCACAACAGTTGCCTCAAAATTCTTCATACTGTAAAGACCTTTCCTCTCTAAGCAGGCATTAAACAAACATGCAGAAGGCAAAATAATTCTACAATCTGACTTGCTGCTACGTTAGAATCCTATTACAGCTCAACACTCACATTCAGCGAGCTCTTTAGGACAACAAAGGTTTGTAAAGACAGGCTGCATGGCTAAGTGCTGGGTTTTATACACCTGTGTCAATGGGACAGAAAGCTTGATTTCAAAGATTAAGGGGCGTGATCCAAGGCTTTTGTCTGTTTATTGTACTTGCCATTTATCACTGCAGTGACCGTTAAGTAAAAGGCAAAAATGGCTTCTTTCTTTTTTTTTTTGTGATAGTTGGGTGACACATTTAAGAGCTGTATAAATGAGTGGAAAGTACAGATACTTCCACACAGGAACGCTGTATGGTCTAATTAACAGCCAGTCTGCTCTGTGGCATTAAAAACAAATTCTATCAAGAAGAAAGAATTGAGAGCCTTTGAAAGAAGGTTCATTGTTGAGAGATGGCTGGCAGCAGATTGAGTTAAATATAAACTAGCTGTTTGTGAAGGATGCAATGACTAAAGTGTCATCTACAATAAATCTGTGGAAAAGAGATAAGTAAATAGGATGGAAGACTGAGATGATCAACAGGGAACATCTGGTGACCATGATGTTCACACAAGTATGACACAAACAGGGGGACTGTCACCATTAAACTGTAAATGAGGAAATATCTGTCAGAAAAATGGTGCTCCATCCCTGCAGGGGAGTTCCAGAGATTCAGCACCAAGTTGTATCTGTACTTTCTGTAAACGACCGACGACAAGTGGCACCATTTTTTTCTTTATACTCACCTTTATACACTGTATCGATCTGATGATTTGTTCAGTGTATTCTGTAACAAGCATTTATCCAGAGAGACTGGATAAATGGACTGTGTTTCATGTTACAGGTCTTATCAGTTTGTAGTTTTGCAGTCTGTTCTCACCTGGAAAGTGAAATAAGACCCCATTCAAGCTTCTTCCTCTTGACGTAGGACAGGTACTACATACTTTGTTTCCTGCTACCAGTGTTTCCTGCATTCTTTCATCCTTTATTAGCTGATTTTGGTAATGGTAATATGGTTTATGGATGTATTCTTATCAAACCAATCCAGATGTATGGCTGGGGGGGGGGGGATTTCTTTTTAGTAAGGTTGGTAATTCAGTAATACAACCTGAGAGACATATCTGGCCCTTTAATTGAGCTATCCAAAAGAATATGTATGCCAAATTACACACGGATTAGACTCAAAGTCAGCGGCAGCAGCTCTTATGGAGTTCAACATTTTTAGTTCAAGTCCTCCTTGATATACAGAAGAGGGTAGAAGACGGGTACAACAGTGAGTGTCTACAGCGATCTGTACAATAAGGTGGAGGCTGGTGCTGAAGATCTTGTCAAAATCCAACAGTACAGAAAAGTACTGCTGTATTTTGCAAAAGCATCTGATTAGTGACTGCTTCATTCTTCAGCATTACAGTCACCCCCAAACACCCTGAAAATGTAGCTTAATTTATTTTTAAAAAGGGACAACACATATTAATGAACATATCAATGTGAATATGCCAGAGGTATCCAGAAGACCACTTTTTATTTGCAATCCCTGGCAACGGTCCTACAAAAACGATGAATAACACCTAGTCAATGTACAACAATACAGTTTAGACAAAAAAAATGCATAAAATTACAACATGAAAATCCACACTGCAAAAAGCATTCCTGGATAGAAAACCATTATTTAAACAGTGTGGGGTCATCTTGACAGAGAACAGAACAAAAGTCAGACAACATCCAAAGAAAAGCTTTGAATGGCCTTCAAGAAGCCTGGAGAACTATTCCTGAAGATTATTTTAAGAAATGAAAGCTTTTCAGGCTGTGCTGGAGAATAAAAGGTGATTATATAAAATACTGACTATCAAGCTTGTTAGTACTGGACTGTAGGTACTGTTTTCAAACTGGAGCCACAATGTTCAGCAAACAATTTTAAAAATCTGTCTTTTAGTAGCAGATCAGGTAATTCTTATTTTCCTGGTGAACTCGTGATTTTGCTCAGTCGTTTAAATAAGCTATTATTTCCACAGCACCTAAAGGCAACTTCAAACCCTCGAGGACATTGAGGAAAGTTTTAAAAAGGAGCTCACTTTGTGCGTTTACCTCCGCAGACTGGCTCTCATTTCGACACACACATAATCGGCATGGACAGACTGTCACGAGAACCGCTCATTTGAAACCAATTCACATTACTGCTAAAAATAAAGGAGGGCTAATTGACTCCGGCCAACCTTCGGTGACGCGGCCCACACAGGCGACGCATGCGCAGTGCCGCCGGCGTCACACAGCACCATCAGTAGGAGCAGGACCAGCGAGAGCCGCCGGGGAGAAAGGTGCCGTCGTTGTTTATTTTACGCAATATAAACTTTTCTCGCAATGTCGGGTTTCGACAGTAACCCTTTCGCTGACCCAATGGACATAAATCCCTTCCAGGTGAGTGTTGGTTGGTTTCTAACCGCGAATCGAGTTTCAGAAGCTTTTCGTTTTCTGGTGTAAAGTGAATACAAAGATATGCTCTAACAAAAACCTGTTTGGTTGGTTGCTGGGTTTGGCCTCAGCATTTCCTGGCTAAGAATCGCCACTGTTAAGTGTGACACGTTTCAATGCGTTTATAAACATTTTTACGTTAAAACTGTGAATATTCGCTGGAAGTGTGCTCTGAGCTCACCTGCGCAGGTGAGCGGACCCGAGAACAGGTGCCTGCCATTAACCGGGAGTTCTCTTTTACAAGCTATTCATAGATGACACCATTAACTAGAAACTCCAGTAGCAAGCCAGTGACACTGCTTTTAACTTTATAGATAGGTTTGTTTTTGTTTCTTTGTACATTTGTTGTTGTTTGTTTATGTTTTACAGACCAGTGTTTTTTGTTTTGTTTTTTTGTAGATGTTTTGTTGTTTATAGACCTAGGAAGTAATGCTTATGAATCCACACGTCTTTGACATTTTAACTTAAGAAATCGATGCTTAATCTTTTATTCACACACACACAAGAAACTGTAATTTAACTGAAACAAATGTGGTCCAGGGCAAAGAGTGTTATTAATAGATAATCTGGTGAGAGAAAAGTCAGTGTTCAGGTGCTGCTCCTCCACTGGATGGGACACTCCTATAATTCCACAGTTGGCACCACATAAACACTGAACAGTCATGGATCCTCAGTGTCACACCTTACAGTGTGTTTGATCTTTTTTCCAGGATGCTTCAGTCACACAAGCCACCAGCAGAGTCAATGACAACGTCGGGGAGTACAACCCATTCTCTTCACCAGAAATGGTCAGCCTTTGTGTTTTTAATGGAACTGCTCATATCATAGCGTGATATGGTATTCAGCTGCAACCAAATCCTTTGGTTTTATGAAAATATATTTGAAAAGAGATATTGCTTCAACCTTTTTTACAGGGACACCACTCTGGGACGACAATCCCTATCTCTGCTGCACCCTCTCAACCAGCTGTACTACAGACATCTGTGGAGCAGAACCCAAAAGTGAGTGAGACGAATGCATTTCAGCGTGTTTAAATAAGGAGATCAGACAACATTAACTGATTTAAGTTACGTTTTCAAGAAATGCAAGTCAAGACACTACCATGCAAAGAAGAATATAGAAGTATATTTATTTTTCTTTACTTGGTCGATTGTAGCACAAGTGGTAGAGTGGGTCGCCTACTAATCGGAAGGTCGATGGGCCAATCCCTGACTCCACATTTGCATTCCTTTGAAAAGATACTGATCCTTGAGTGCCCCCCGAGGCATCCACTGGATCGTTAGTGTGTGTGTGTGTGTGTGTGAATGTTAGTAAGCACTTAATCATGAATAATGTATAAATGTGTGTGACTGGATGAATGAGAGGTATAGTAGAAAGAACTTTGAATGGTCAACTGAGTAGAAAGTCTGTATCCAAGTCCTGGTCCAGTTCATACATAAACAATGCTAAGAAATGCTTCTCTACCACCCACACACTTGCACTCTGATTGGTGCATCACAGGTAATTCATTTAAGGTTCAATGTCTTGCTCAAGGACACTTTGGCATACAGATTTGATTGGTGGAGGATCTAGCCAACGACCTGCTGGTAGACAACCTGGTGCACATCCTGAGCCACAGCCGCCCCAAAAGTCATCACATTTTACTGCAGGGGCCATCTAGCTTATCACTGCAAGAAAGCAGCACTTTGGATGGTTATTTTAGTGCAGTACATGTATGAGGAAATTGTGTTCAACAATGCTGAAGACAGTATTAAGATGCAGGTCTGCTATCACACATCAGGCTAAAGCAGCTGCTGCCCAGGCTAACCTGATCAAACAGCAGGAGGAGCTGGAGAGGAAAGCAGCAGAGCTGGAGCGGAAGGAACAGGAGCTAGAGAACAGGAGGCAGGCAGGCAGCGCATCGAACCCTGGAGGTAAGTGGCTGCACGTATTTGATGTAGTTGTGTTGAGTATGTGTTAAGTCTTAAATGATAATAAGGTTTTTAAATCTTTTCCTGTCAGCTAAAGAGAACAACTGGCCACCTCTTCCAAGGTTCTTCCCTATAAAGCCCTGCTTTTATCAGAATTTTGAGGAGGAAATCCCCGAGGACTACCGCAGGATGTGCAAGAGAATGTACTACCTCTGGATGTGTATGTACCCCTGATTGTAGTATTTTATATGCCAATCACTGACCTAAAAGGATGGTATAGTACATCAAATCTCAGCTTTTAATATGCTAAATTTAAATATCAAGACTTTCCACTCATACTTTTGCTGAAGTTCTTACTTTTTTCTTTACAAATGAATCATGATTTATAACTTTATCCATTAAAAGATTGTTTAAAGTCATAATTGCTGCACTAAAACGTTAAGAAATAATTTATTTACCCCACATTTGGGAAATTAATTTGTTACGAAGGTGATGATAATAACAATAATAAAGACACCATTCATGCCTATTAGTTTAAAAGTGCACAGAGTATGGTTCACCGGAGCTGTTTATAAGCAGTGTTGTATTATAAGTGTGTGTCTGCATCACTGGTTTTCTTTCGCACCTCTCCAGTCCACAGTGCCACTCTCTTCCTCAACGTGCTGGCCTGCCTGGCTTGCTTCACCATTGACAATAACTATGGCGTTGACTTTGGTCTGGCTATTCTTTGGTTCATTCTGTTCACCCCCGTGGCCTTCGTCTGTTGGTACAGGCCGGTCTACAAGGCCTTTAGGTATGCTGTGCCACTGGTATTGTTTACACTTATGAACTTTAATACAAGTCTTCAAACTGTAAATGATCTCCAGACTCATTTTTATGACTTCATGCGATTGTGAAACTTAATATCTCTATTATGCAATATGTCAGCAAACCAGTGAGCACCTTCGTGTTAATAATATGTCCCCTTTTTTCCCCCTCCATAGGTCTGACAGCTCTTTCAGCTTCTTTTTCTTCTTTTTCGTCTTCTTCTTCCAAGTGGCAGTTTACATTATCCAAACTGTGGGGATTCCCCATTGGGGCAACAGGTCAGTGGGATTTATTTTCTCTTTCTTTTTTCCTACACTACCTGAAAGTGTGGTGGAAGTGCACCAAGATTCTGTTTTTCATTGTATGAATGTGCATGCTGCTTTGGGATACATTCAGTGTGCATGGACCACCACATTTCTTCATTCACACGTGTTTGTGTGTGAATTCTTCTCCTGTCTCTCCTCTATTGCATTTCTTTGACAGATTCCTGCTGCCCTAATAAATCTGGGTTGCTGCTTTGTAAGTGTGTGTAACTTTTATTTTGGGATTTCTTTTCTATCATGTATAAAGCTCCTCAGGTTTCCATGTGTCATTTTTACAAACTTCATGCTTTACATTTGGTATCTGGTTGTTTGTGTATTTCTCTTTAATCCACAAAAAAAGAATTTCAGTGTACTATAATATACTGTATATAATAATTACAGAGAAAATGTGAGATTACACCTTTTTTCCTCTTGCATGTTTCTGGTTTTGACAGTGGATGGATAACATCAATCACCATCATCAACACGAACCTGGCTGTGGCTGTGGTTATGATGGTAGTGGCTGGATTTTTCACTGTAAACTCTGTGCTGGCTGTGATCCTGCTGAAAATGGTACGCAAAAGTAAAACTTCTGTTTACATATCGTATTTTTATAGGTAATCTGATTACTATTTTATTATGAACCTGTCAGGTTTAATATAATGTATCTTGATGAACTGAATAACCCTAAGCCAAGTATTTTAAACATGTTTTAGTTGTCGATGACTTATACTGCGTACATATATAAATGTTATTTTTTTCTCATTTATATCTGGAAGCTACGTCAAAGACAAACTAAAAATCGGGTGGTGACAAAAACTTTGAACAGCTTCAGAGGAAATTTTCAAACCAAGTGTGTGTGCTGAATGCACTTACTGTACAGACTTTCCTCCATGTAGAAATTCCAGGAGTGTCTTTTGGTTTTTAAAGACAATAATTAATTAGAAAGTGCACACAATATTTCATCTTAATGCAAAAAAAAAAAAAAAAAAAAAGGGGGGGGGGACAAAAACAACCATTTTAAAAAAAAGTCTGTTCCTTGGCTCATAAATGGTAAATGGTAAATGGACTGGTTCTTATATAGCGCTTTTCTACTCTTCTGAGCACTCAAAGCGCTTTACACAACTTGTGCATTCACCCATTGACACCCATTCGCACAAGCACATTTCTCTAGGTGCTTTCTAGATAACATTCACACATATTCATACTCCGACGGATGCATCGGAGAGCAATTTGGGGTTAGTATCTTGCCCAAGGATATTTGGCATGCAGACTAGGGGAAGCAGGGATTTATCCACCAACCTTCCGATCAGTAGATGACCTGCTCTACCACCTGAGCTACAGCCACCCCTAATAAGTCTCCACTAGACATCTATTGTATTTTCAGATATCCTCCTCACTAACAGATCAATGAAACTGAACTCATGAGCTCCTTTGTAGGCATAAGAACCATGGACCGAACCTTACAGGAACCAGCAGGTTAAACACTGTTTCATCATTTGATCGCCTGTCATTGTTTAATAATTTCTGTCTTTTCCTATTATCCTAGGTCCACTCTAAATACAGAAACACAGGTGCCAGCTTCACCAAGGCCCAGCAGGAGTTTTCACAAGGTGTCCTGAGCAACCGAACTGTCCAAAATGCTGCAGCCACCGCTGCTACCTCTGCTGCACAGGGAACCTTTAGCAGGAGCTAAACAAAATTAGTGTGATTTCTACAAGTTTTGTGTCTCTGGCTATTCTCTTTTCTGACCAGCATACCGGGCTAGCCACGTCCCAACATTATCCAGTTGGTGTAAAGGAATTTTTAGGGAAAAGGGCAAAAAGCAAGTAACTTATGAGTATATACCAAGTGGGGTGTCTCCATTCTCCATGTCCACTAAAAAACTAAATAATAATAAAGATTGTGTAATTTAGGAAGATGTGTAGCCAAAGACATAAAGTCATCTTATAGGAATAGGAACCTACCCTCAGTTAAACTTTATTTGTATAGCACCTTTGATGAAGGACAGTGCAATTCAAAGAGCTGCGTAGATGATTGACGAACTAATAATGAGATGGTACATTAATTAAAAAAAAAAAAAAAGTAAAAAGATTATAAAATGCAAAAATAAAATGGATGGAACTTGTAAAGACCTGCACAGATCTCAGCATATGTCATATTCATTTATGCTTTAGGGAAATGTCCAGTAGGAAATCTGAAGCTGGGGTTTAGATAGAGGGCGAGGTGAGGACGCCACACAAATAAAATTGTAACATTTCATCACTGCATAGCTATTGAAAGCATTTAACAGAGTAGACTAAAGAGATACATGTGAGATGATCTGCAATACAAGAAACACTGATTTAAATCCAGTAATTCTTAAAGATCCCGGTAAAAAAGTATCAGGATTTTTTCCTGCTAATGTAGGAATGACATACTGAGGCTTGAAATATAAACTCTTTGTCCAAGTTTGGATTCTCACTTGACAGAGAGGTTTTTTTTTTTCATCTGTGAACAATGGATCTACAAAATGTTTTTCACATTACAGCAGCATACAGAACCTTGCAGGATAACTGTCCTGACTATAAGTGCATTAATACCGATAATACACCTTATGCACAGTGGCTGTCCTGTAAAAGTATAAATGATAATAAATGCATACTGTTACATTACTGTGCAGTTTGAACGTTGTTCTCCAAATTTGATGTTTTGATGTGTATATGACAATAGGATGAGCTGCTGATTAATGAAGGTGATGGGATAAAGAGGTCATTTGTACTGTTTTATCTGCTTACTGATTTTTTTTTTTAATGAAGTCAGGCTTAAAGCTGTTCTTGAAGTAAATGAAGATGTTACATTTTAATTCATGTTAAGAAAACTTGGCATAATACAGAGACTTGCTGTGATTAAAATGAAAGGGGGGGGGGGGGGTACAGGTTTATTAATGTAAAGTTACTGAAAGTATAGAATTTGAATGTATTTACATGAAAAGTATATTAATGAGTAGAAAGAACAATATGTTTGACTTTGTGCCCATGGTAGTTTTACTACATGTTAACTTAATATTTCCTGTTTTTCCTATCTGCACCTACTTGTAATTAGGTTTGAGTGTTTCATCCCTTTCTCTCTCTGTGTGTATGTGTGTGTGTGTGTGTATAAAGTATATAAATACTGCATACTCCCGATCTGATGTTTGTACCTCAGTGCCTTTAAACAGAAGTAACATACAAATCTTTGTGTGACCATTCAAGTTCAAGACTTTTAATGCCCTGTTTTATCTGTAGCCTGTGGAACAACTGGTGAAGTTTTCTTGTGATCAAAATGTGTTAAGATTATGTAAATATTGGTGACTTATTTAAACATATTTACTGCTGGGGTAAGCATTGGAAATTGATTTTCAATCTTAACATTCAATAAACTGTACTGTCTATAAAATTCTGAATTGAAGTCTTGGAAGTGGTCTTCTTAGAAGCGTATTATTATCAAAAGTGGTCCAAGGACGGAACAGTGGTGAGCCAGCGACAGGGTTATGGGCTGTGCTGTGTGGTCCGATCCAACAGGCGAGCTACTATAGCTCAAATTGCCTAAATATTTAAACGTGGTTCTGATAGAAAGGTGTGAGAACGTGTGTATGGGTCTGCATAGCTGCAGGCCAGTCAGTGTCCACGCTGACCCCTTTCCTCTGCTGAACTTCAGCCCAACTTACAGGATTTAAAGGGTCTGTTACTAACATCAGCTGATCTTTTATTATGGAGAAAAACAACGGAGACGTTTGACAATGGCATGTCTGATAAAAAACAAACACGAGATCAGCACAAACACCTTATACTAAGGAAGGGTGATGATTTCGGCTTGTTTTGCAGTTATGGGATCTGGGCAGCTTGCAATCACTAAGTTAACCATGAACTCCTGTGTATACTGAAAGAGTCTATAAAAGTGACGATACACAACAGGACACAGATCCCAAGCACAGCATCAATTCTATGAAAAGAAAAGATTGCAATGGCTCGGTCAAAGTCCAGACCTCAACCTGACTGAAATGCTGTTCTGGGCCCTCAAGAGAGCTGTGCATAAACACATATCTGCAAACCTCAATGAACTAAATAAATGATGTAAAGAAGAGTGGGCCAAAATTCCTCTGCAATGATTTAAAAGACTGATAAAGCCATACAGAAAATTATTAGTTTAAGTTCTTGCTGCTAAAAGTGATTTTACAAGCTACTGAATTACTACTACTGGAAGCACTTTTTTTGTAAATAAAGTTTTTTTCTTTAATCCGAGAGCACAAATCCAACCAGCTACGTGTCTGCGCGCCATTGACGTATCCATGGCAACAGCTTCTAGTGTTGATCATCCCAAGATGGCGGACGCGGAAACAACCGCAACGGTGAGTGCGATGCGAGCTGCTCCTCCTTTTCTTGAATAACCACAAACTTGACTCGAAATACAATGAAAGTGTGACACTTCGCGAGAAAGCCCGACGCTAGGTTTTACCACACGCTTTCTATAACGCTTACTTGAACGTTAGTTAGCTAGGCGGCTAGCCTATTCTAAGTCGGCGCTAAGTTGATTAAGCTGCAGCTAACGGCAACTTGCGAGACTAATCTCACTCACTCAAGGGCAAATTTAAACCTTAACACTGACAGCTGTAGCTGTGGCAGAATGGCAGGATTGGTGTGGACTGTTTGGGAAGCTTTAGCCCACCCTTAATATACGATAACGTAGAAAACGTTATCAAGCAGCTTTTCATTAACTGGCTTACGACCAATCCCAGTTATATTATCGCTGTGGCATAATAACTTTCAGCGTGTAATGACATGTAGAGAATATCAATAAACTGCTAAGCATCAGCAACCACATCCAAAACAATCCACAAGTGAGGTCAAATATGGGAAGAAAAATATGTGACGCGAGAAGAACTGCGCATGCGTGCATCTACCTGTACATTGTGAAGATAGCAAATGTTACTGTTGTTGCAGTCAGTGAACAGAACATACACAGGAGCAGGTTACATTGCAAAATTTTACCGGTACATCTCAAAAAATTGAATAAAATGCATTAATGTAATATATCATTCCATTCATTCATTTGATGGTTTTTTGAGATGTGGTGGCAGCATGCTGGCACAGACCCCCAAACAACGCTCTCGCCATTCACCTCCTCCAGCTCTTCTGGAGGAACATTGAGAAGAGAGTATTTGAGAGACATAATCTCTCCAGTATGTTTTGGTTATGCCTAGAAATTCTGTCCATAGAAGTTATAAACTGAATTGGTGACAAATAGGCAGTGTTTGGTCACCAAGTCTATCCAACCCTACTGATCTGCATGCTTCTACTGTTTGATTGGGAAAGAGTGTTTTCTCTCTCTCTGTTCATTAAGTAAACACACATGTCATTCAGCTTGTTGGCCCACATTCCCACAAAGCCTTTTATCAGTTTTTGAGTGGACAGGATTTTCTGTATTTTGGTGAGGGCTGCTCAAGGATTATTTTACTAGCCTGTAGATGTACCATGTAAAAGCAATAACTTGTAATAATTATTAGTAATACTTTTCTGCATGACTTTATCTTCACAAAGTTGCTTCAGTTCATTAAGGTTTCTGAGTTTCTGCACAGTTCTCTTAAGGTCCTGGAACAGCATTTCAGTCGGGTTTTGGTGTGGACTTTAACTGGACAATTGCAACACCTTGATTGTTTTCTTTTTCAGCCATTCTCTTGCACTTTTTTATGCAGGAGAGTTCATGATCGACTCGATAACATGGTGCTCAGGCCCTGTGGCTACAAAACACACCCATGGTATTGGTATGAGGTGTTTGTGCTGATATGCTGTGTTGATCTTTACCATACACAGCGCTGTGCATCATGACCAAAGATCTGTACTTTGATCTCATCTGTCCAATGGACATTTTTCAGAACTCTTGGAGTTTGGTTCAAGCCTAAGCTGTGATGCCAGGCTTTCTCCTGACAATCCTACCAGAAAAGCCATAATTGTTTTTTCTATTTGTGCTCTCATGAGTGAATGAATGAATGAATGAATGCTCTCATGAATGAATTGAAACATGCTAACTGAGGCCTTTAGAGTCTGAGATGTAGTGCTTGGAATTTTTTTTCCTGCATTTTCTCTGAGCAGTAAACATCTGACCTTGGGGTGATTTTGAAGGGACGCCCTGGGAAGGTTGTTGCATTGTGTTAAAACACACGTGTTTACTCTAAACCAGCAAGCTAAAAGAAAACATCATCTTTGATAGAGGTGCTCATACTTGCCAAAGATGAGTTAATTAAGTGCATCTGATTGGCTGGCGGCTACTGACGTTCTTAATTTGTATAGAAGAAGTAAGGATCAATGTAGGTTTTCACAGGCCTGCATAGAGTCCTGAGGAAACTTTTGTTTTTCACTTGACTTTCAGACTCCTGATTGCTGTTATTTATTTTTCTGCTTGTCTTGTTTGTCACATATTTCAGCTCCCTGTTGCTACTGAACCCAAGAAACGTCGGGCGCCTAAAGGTACAGTGAAAGCACTGCAGGTCATGTTCTGAAATTAATTGAATTATTTTCATGTTGTTGTGTGACATTCATCTTTTTGAAATTCATTTCTAAAAGTTGGTTAAGTGTTGACAACTGAAACTAAAGGTTTTGGAAGTGAACGGCCTGCAGAGGTCACCCTCACCCTTCTGTTTGTTTTCTCTGTAAGGAACAGGCTGTGAGCAGGCATTATGCTGCTGAGCCGTTTTCCAGATATTTCTCTGTGTAGAGAATGTCTGGTAATCAGAGGATGTTTTGTCATCATTATTGAAGCCTAATGTGCCATTAAATAGTTTATACTTCTGCCCACAGATATTTTGTCTTTTCTTTGTTTTATAGTGCTTTGTAATAATAATAATGATAATAATCAGAGCTACTGAGAATTGCACCTCTGTGGAAGCAGTTGAGTACATGCTATGATGTGGTAATGATAATTTTTATTTGGCATGCAAACCCTTTCCTGGGTTGTACTTAATATGAGACACACCTCTGTTCTAACTAAAAAGAAGAAGAAAGAAAGTAAAGATTGGATTTTAGGAGGCTAATACACATACACCAATGGGAGCAGACTTTATAACAACCTGAACGCAGAGGAACTTTAAAATTGAGATGCACCGTTTTAAAGCTGCTGCTGAGTTAAAAATAAAGTGGCAGCTGGGTGCATGAACTTCACAGCTTCATCTACAGGGAATTGTGACTTCATTATGCCTCATACAGACTGTATAAGCAAAAATAGTTCTATAAAAAGTTTTCCAAATGCAAAGCGTGTGTATATCGGCCGATTTTTGGCACTTCATCACTGAAACTTGGGATCACAACTGGATGAAAACAGTCACACGCAAGGACCCATCCATGTAGACATTTAAAGATTTGACATAATCAAGCGACGTGACATAAACCTTAATTGTGTCCATAAGTCACAGTCATTCTGCAGTTACCACTGTGAAATGTAATTATGGTTATTTAAGGCATACACAAATTTACCTTTGCTATGCAGAGTAGTATGCAGAGTATATTATGTTAGATTTTGAGCACTGCTGTTTGTGCATTCTTAGTGTTAATACCTGACAGGTGCTGTGCAATGGAAAGATCTAAAGTAAATTAAAAAAAATAGTACAGTATGTTAGATTTTAATAAAATCCAGTGTGAGTTTCTTGACTCGGATGTAGCAGTCTGCCTTATTTCTTTTTAGGATACTGACAGTCATTTCTGGCACATTCCCGACAAAGGGAAAAAAAGGTGTCAGCATCTCGATGTGAGACTAAATGACTTGACAAGATGAAGGCTTTTTTTGGAGGGTTTTTTGTGTGTGCGATTGAACTTCCAAAAATAATATTCATCATATTTTTCATTACGTTCTCCCCATGTGTCTTTTGATCTCAGCATGCCTCTCCTCTGCTCTTATCCCCTTTTAACAGATGGTTGAAACACACTGAGGGCAAAGCTGCCTTAGCTTCATCCAGATCAAATATAACAATGAGAAAACTCTCTCTTTGCAATGAAGTTTTTCACATTACTATATTTAGGAGACCTCGTGCTGGGTTGTTCTTCTGTGCTTCTTTCTATCCTTCTCTCATACAGTAGTTGTAGGAATACACGTTGCCCATGTATCCCATCACTCCTCTCCAAATTCTGCCTTGCTTTATGTATGTGGACCATAGAGCACCGCAGGACCACAGCTGAAACCCAGAGACAAGAATATTATTGCTGTCTCAGCAGGGAGAAAGCGGATTAGGGTCCCTACAAATAGGGCCATTCCCAGTCTTGACGTGGCAAACGTGTGGAGCCCGTGCCGTTTCACAGTCAGCGATGGAGTGGATTTGTGTGAAGTATCTGGAATGGGCTCAAGTTCTAGCAGCAGATCAGCGAAGCTCTTCTTAAGGCGCTGAAAGATAAAACAGAGGGGAGCTTTGGTGTAATTCACAC